TATGTACATGTAGCAAGATCCCTTTCAAAATATCATCCACACTTTCTGAAAGTTATGTCAAATAGGCAGTGCAAATTAAAAAGCAGGAAAAAGCATACCCAAAGGGGAATGAATTAATTAATACGAATTAATAAATTCTCCATGCCAACTGCAAAAGGGAGATCGTTACATCTCATCAATAATATTAATACGGCATTAAATTAACAAAACAGAAGCTGATATTTTATCAAAATTATACTTATTTTTATTTATTTTGACAGAAAGTTATACTAATTTATTGGGTTTGTGCGACCAAAATCGGTCCGATCAAACTTATAAAACCTATAATTGAAAATCCATCCAAATCCCGTTAAACCATCCACTTTTTAGAAAACCTGTGACACGTTCTGGGTTGAACCGATTCCACCTATGTAAATGTGTATATATATATTTTTAAAATTTTTAAATGTATATTTATAAAATTTTTGTAAATTTATATATTTTAATTTTTTAAAAATCATCGGTTCAACTCCTGTTCAAGCTTTAGATTCTCGATCATTTCTCTTTTCGAGTTGATGACCAGATCGATTTTTAAAACATTGTATAGTGAAACAAATCATTTATTCATATTGTAAAAGTGTTGTTCACCGATTTGTGTACACTTACGATAATTAGAAATTAATGTGTTGAATATCGATTTTATTAGGAAAAAATACTTCACATAACTTACAAAATGCTAGTTGTACGAGTTATGGAACTGTCCAAGTCAAAATTTGTAATACATGTCATAATCATGAAATTTTGAACACTATTTATTATTATTATATATTTTTTAAATATTTTTTAATCACTTGTAACGTTAGAAATGGGGTCACATTTTCACGTAAGAGAAACTAATGGTTGCTTGTATTTTAAAAAAAAATTTATAAATACATTCGACATATCTCAAATTTAAAAACTAGTAATTGAAGATCACAATAACATGTATCCCCCCTATTCTCAGGGAGTCTGTTTGCTAAGTAGCATGGTCCATATGAAAATATCGTGCACATTAACCAAGAACTAGTGGCATGGCTTAGTACCATTAAGATATGACAAGTTTACAATTTTTATAAATAGATGATTGATAAATGTTTTTTTACACACTTATTTAATTCACAAACATGACTTAATTATGATAAAAGAGTTTGAATTATGGCTTAATTCTATGTAATTATTTTTCGTATGACTATATTGATGAATGTGGTGGAATTCAAGAGAAAAGAAACGAAAAAGAACCAAAAAGGAAGAAAATCCAAAGTATGAGGACTAAATTGCAACATTTTAATAGTTGATTCGGATCACAAAATGAAGATTAAAGATGATGCGGGTTCAATTGGATGCAAATCAAAGTCAAAGAGTTAAAATTGCAAGAGAAAGGGCTTGAAAGAATAAAAAATCGACTTCGGGAGACTAAAATGCAACATATGAAAGAAATTTTGCTTGGGCAACAGTCCAGTTATAAAAACCAGGCAATCACCCCATATGTTTTTCTTATTATTGAGAAGAAAATGTTGGCCTGGGCGACAGCCCGGGTTTCGCCTGAACGACAGCTCAGGCTAATCGCAGCGAAAATTTTCTGGTTTCCTTTTTTGATTAAAACTCTTATGGAAACAAATCTTGGGAGTCTTTTGAAGCCCTAGGGACGTCCAAAAATAGACACTACGCATTATACATTATTTTGGGAGGATTTGAAGAGCAAGAAGAAGGAAGAACAAGAAGATTCAATCCAAGATTCAAGATCTCACTTCAAGAATTTCAATAGGGTGATGTCTTTTCTTGATTTTTAATGTTGTGTTCTTCTTCCCATCATACTAGACTAGAAAAATATATACTAAGAGATCGATGAACCTTGTAATGTGATATTTAACTCTTTGTTCCGTATTTTGACACTAAAACACGTATTGATTGTTTTGAATGATTTATATGCATTAAATTGCTTCCATGATTATGGGCCCGTAATTGTGTGAGTTTTGGTGGTTTGTTTCATCTATTTGAAAGAAGAGGAATAAATTCGACAAGGTATAAGTCATCGTAGGGTCCAATAGGGGATATAAATATACCCCTATACTTTGCGTGAATCTCTAAGTACTCACAAAACTATGCATTCTCGTATATTTGCATCCGTTATAGATATAGAGGCTGGTGGTGTATGAGAATAGGTTCAATTCATCTCGAGAGAGAGTGTTGGATAGATTTAGGAGTATTGATTCTTCAAAATGTCATCGTGTTGTGAAAGTGTGGAATTAAGGTTAAATTGAGCATTGCTTGGAGATTCGTGATCCTAGTACGCTTTTATATTCATTGAGTACATCAACTTGCATTCAACACATTCATTTTGCATTCTAGTTCATTCAAATCATACATATTTGCATATTTCGTCCAAGTAAGGTTAATTTAATTCACTACAATTCACATTTGACATATATGTTTCGATTAAGGCCAAGTTAGGTAAAATTAAACTAATCAATCTCTGTGGGACGATATGCGGACTCAATTGATCCACTTTATTACTTGTTAACACTTACGGTGATTTAAATCGAAAGAAAATATTTCGTGAACAAGTTTTTGGCGCCGTTGCTGGGGATTGAGTTTAGTTTAATTTCATTTTTCTAGGCACTAATTCGAACTTTAAATTTTTTTTATTATTTTTTATTTATATTTGTTTAGGTTATTTTATTTTATTTTTATTGTAGTTCTTAAAATTGTTTGAATTTGAGTGCTACTGCTGGTTTTCTCGTAGAGTTGCATGCCAAGATCGACTGGAGCAGAATTGTTTCTAACCGATCCTGAAATTGAGTGCACTTTTCATCGACTGCAAATAGAGACTAGAGAAGCATAGTTGCAAATGGCTAACGAACCTAACAACCATGTTATCCCAGCCAATGAAGGAGAGGCGGTAGACGAAGGAAACAAGATTTTGGGAGATTTCTTGACTCCTCAAGTAAATCAAAGCCAGTCCAGCATAGTATATCCACCATTTGGGTGGCCTAATTTCCAATTGAAGACCAATGTGAAACAGTTGTTCCAGAATGGACACCAATTTTATGGTAGAACAGAAGAAAATCTACATACACACATATTTCAATTCTTGGATATGTGTCAACACTTCAGGTATCAAGGAATTTCAGATGATGCTATTAGGCTAAGGTTGTTTCCACATACGCTACGGGATAAGGCACTTGAATGATTGGATTCACTTCCTATTGCAAGTATCACTACTTGGAATGAGCTGGCTCATAAATTCTGCACGAAGTTTTTCTCACCGGCCAAGATAGCGAAACTGAGACATGAGATATCGATATTCAATTAAGAGAAATCTAAATCATTTGACGAAGCCTAGAATAGATTCAAAAACATGCTCCGAAAGTGCCCTCAACATAGGTTTGACAAAAAGACCCAAATCCGATTCTTCTATACAGGGTTACTCCCGTACTTCAAAAGCATGGTAGACTCATCATCAGAAGGCTCAATTTCCACACGAATAATCGATGGAGAACTGGAATTGTTTGAGAGAATGGCTACCACTTCAGCCATGTGGTCCTCTGAGCCCTCCTAGTGTCTATGAGGTAGATGCATATTTAGCATTATCAGTAAAGATTGACTCACTATTTCACAAGGTGGAAAGCATATCACAGTCCGCAAATGCAACATATGTACAAAAACTAAATTGTGAAGAATGTAGAGCGAATCATAGTACGACAGAATGCCCAATTCTGACACAGGGAATGGAACAAATAGAGTACGCATAATGGGGTCAACATCAACAGAACTATCAAAATTCAGACACTTACAATCCTAGTTGGAAAGTACATCTAAATCTCTCATGGGGTGGTACCCAAAATCAGAATAGATCCCAGAGGCAATTTCAACAGGAGAAGACACTTCAATTGGAAGACATATTTGCAAAGTTCATGGAAAAGACTGAAAAATACATGGAAGCAAATAACCAGTTCATAAGGAAAACTGAAACTACTCTCCAAAAGCAGGGTGCTGCAATTAAGAACTTGGAGATGCAGATGGGGCAGATGGCACTCGCTATGACGAAAAGGGCACCAGACACTTCACTAAGAATACTGAGTTAAATCCCAGGGAGCACGTACAAGCGATCACAACTCGAAGTGGGATTCAACTACTAGAAAGACATGTTGAGAGGCCGAGTGTAAACAATGAAACAACCTTCTACAAAAGAAGAGATTGTATAGCAAGACGAGTAGACACGTGAATCTACACCAAATAAGAGTTCAGAGACATCACGGGGGGTAAGGCCACTATTCCAGTTAACCCCTATGAGCCACCCATTCCATTTTCCCATAGGTTAAGAAAGTATAGGATGGAGCAACAATATAAGAATTCCTCGAAATCTTTAAAAAGGTCCACATTAACATCCCATTCGCCGATACACTACTCCAGATGCCCAGCTATGCCAAGTTCCTGAAGGACATCTTAACAAATAAACGAGAGCTAGAGGAACATGAAGCAGTGATGTTAACCAAAGAGAGCAATGCCAGGATCTAGAAAAAGCTCCCACCAAAACTGAAAGATCCAAGGAGTTTCACTGTCCCTTGCACAATTAGTGATTTTTATTTTAATAAAGCATTATGTGATCTTGGTGCGAGTATTAAATTGATGCCACTCTCTATTTTCAGGAAATTAGGATTGGGAGAGCCTAAAGCAACTACAGTAACTCTATAGCTGGCTGATCGATTACTTACACATCCACGGGGATTATCGAAGATGTGTTAGTCAAAGTGGATAAACTTATATTCCCAGCGGACTTCTTAATTCTGGACATGGAAGAAAACAAGGACGTGCCTATCATATTGGGGTGACCATTTTTGGCAACTACAAGAGCTCTCATAGATGTACAATAAGGACAATTGACTCTAAGACTGGGGGAGAAGCAAGCCTCTTTTAATGTTTTCAAAGCAATGAAATATCCCACCGAGCCAAACACCTGTTTCTAGATTGATGTGATTGACATGGGAATCCCCTACAATTACGAGTTGAAGAAACCGCCAGACAATCAGGAGGTCGATATGATGCACCCTCAATCTACTCTCACTGACTCAAAGGAGATTGAGGTATATAGCGTGGAGTCTCAAACGGATGATGAGGGAGAGTCACATTACTTGGAAAAAGACAGGTTTGAAGTGTGGAGGATAACTACAATACGGAATAAGACTATATTGAACAAACTACACAGAACCTCTCAAGCCATATTAAAAGTACCATTACACACCTATGTCAAAAGTCGAGCTATCGACTATAAAATAACACTGGTTGGGAGGCAGCCTAATGTTTCTATCCTTTCATTTACTTCATTTTCTAATAGTTAGGAACTTTTCATTTTTTTAGCATTATCAATAGTTTTAGGTCATCGATCATACATACCTATCACATGGAGTCTAGGCATGGTCCACACGAGTCCCAATGCACTAAGCACGAGTCATGAGATTGAAGTCCTATTTTAGCTAGTCATGTGTCAAATTGAACAAAGTGCAGTTCGAATGGACGAAAAAATGTGAACACAGTTTTTAAGAGTTGAAAAAGAGATTAGTCAATGTACCAGTGTTAACCATACCTGAGGGATCAAAAAGTTTCGTTATCTACAGTGATGCATCCAAGCAGGGTATTGGATGTGTTTTGATACAACAAGGTAAAGTAGTTGCTTATGCATTGAGGAAGTTGAAGCCTCATGAGCAAAATTATCCTACACATGACCTAGAACTAGCTGCGGTAGTTCATGCTTTGAAGATTTGGAGGCACTATCTTTACGGAGGAAAGTGTGACATCTATACAGATCATAAGAGTCTTACGTACATCTTCACTCAGAAAGAGTTGAACATGAGGCAAAATAGATAGCTTGAACTGGTACAGGATTATGATTGTGAAATTCATTACCAATCGAGCAAGGCGAATATAGTAGCCGATGCCTTGAGTAGAAAGTCAATGGGATAAGTGGCGATGTTAACAGCACAAAGGCCTTTATGGAGAGAATTTGAGAAATTAAGTCTTGAAGTGGTAGCTACCCCTCTCCCTGATTCTATTTCTAGAATGGCAGCACTTGCAGTTCGATCGACTCTCTGAGATTGGATTAAGAATCATCAAAAGGATGATCAGTTCTTGGAATTTATCAAAGCTGAGATTGACAGAGAAAAGAGAAAAGATCTTTCCATAGCTGAGGATAAAGCATTATATTATCAAGGACGCTTGTGTGTACCAGATTTTGAGGAATTGAAAACTGAAATTTTGGAGGAAGCCTACTCTACTCCTTATTCGGTACATCCAGGAGGTACAAAGATGTATCATGACCTAAGAACTGTGTTTTGGAGGAAAAATATGAAGGATGATATAGCTAAATATGTGGAGAAATGTTTGATATGTCAACAGGTAAAAGTCGAACATCAGCGACCATCAGGGTTACTGCAGCCGTTGGAGGTTCCAAAACGAAAATGAGAACATGTGACGATGGACTTTGTTGTAGGATTTCCAAAGTCAGTAAGAGGACATGAGGCTATTTGGGTAAAATTGTTGACCAATTAACCAAGTCAGCTCATTTCTTACCCGTTCGCATGACATTTTCTATAGATCAATTTGCACAGTTATATGTTAAGAAAATAGTGGGGCTACATGGTGTCCCAATTTTAATCATATCAGATAGAGATCAATGTTCACATCAAATTTTTGGAAAACTTTATAATGAGCTATGGGAACTAAGCTAAAATTTAGTACGTATTTTCATCCCCAAATAGATGGCCAGTCTGACCGAACAATTCAAACGCTTGAGGAAATGCTTCGAACATGTATCCTTGAACTTGTGGGATATTGGGAGAAACATTTACCCTTGATTGAGTTGCATACAACAACAGTTATCATGTCTCTATTGGTATGGTACCATATGAGGCATTGTATGGGAGGAAGTGTAGACCGCCAATTCATTGGGATGAGGTCAGAGAGTGAAAATTTTTAGGGCCAGAGATCATTGAACAGGCAGTACAGGCAATTGAGAAAATTTGAGCTAGCATAAAAATGGCTCAGGATAGACAGAAGAATTATGCAGATAGAAGAAGAAAAGATCTAGAATTTATAATAGATGTCAAGGTATTCCTCAAGGTTGCACAGATGAAACGAGTCTTGCACCTTGGTAAGAAGGGTAAGTTCAGACAAATGTACATTGGTCCTTTCGAAATTTTAAAGTGAATTGGAAATGTTGCATACCAATTAGCTTTGCCACCAGAGCTTTCAGTGGTACACGATGTCTTTCGTGTATCAATGCTCAGAAAGTATGTTCATGATCCAACTCATGTGATCAGACACCAACCATTAGATATTCAGCAAAATCTGAGTTACAAAGAAGCACCAATAAGCATCATAGCTCAGAAAGTACAGAAGTTTTGCAGTAAAGAAATACCACTAGTTAAAGTTTTATGACAATACTTTTCAGTAGAATAAGCCACTTGGGAACGAGACGATTCAAGTATCCCCAACTTATTTCTAACAACAGTTGAGGTAAATTTCGAGGAGGAAATTTATTTTATGGAGGGTAGATTGTGACACCTCAGACCTCAAAATTAGACATTATATTAAAATTTAGGGCCTTATCACATAGACGGTATAGTCTAGGGACCTAATTGATTAATATCTAATATTTTAGGGATTAAAGCACAAATATTTGAATCTCAAAGTGATAGAATCTCTAAGATATTGTGATAACTTTAAATAAATAAATTCGATTAGATATTATGATTATTTTTAAATATTTTACATTATCATAGATTCTGTTAGATATTATGATTATTTTTAAGCATTCAACATTATCCAAATTTTAGATATTGTGGTTAATTTT